GCCCGACGAAACCATTGATGATGCAACAGCAGCAGATACTGATATCATCAGCTCGCAAACTGTCGTAGTCTGCTATCGGCACAGTACATCTATTTCTAGAGATCTGCACACTCTCAAATAGAGATATTTATCATTATTAATGTAGACTTCACAGACCGGTATTCTGTAAGAGCTCTGGGATGTTATTTTCCACACACTTTTCAAAGTAAAGACGATATTAATAGTATTAATTTAATTAACGGAAGCTTCACAGACGCATTTGTAAGATCTCGGCGATGCTATTTTCCACACATTTTCTTAAGTAGAGACGATAGTATTTTTAATATTAAAGTAGACTTCACGACCAGCGCTTTTTGTAGCGACTTTGCGAATATATATATTTTGTACTTTACCTGGAACTCACCACTGCCACCGTGCAATGAAGGCGCGCAGCTGCACGGGCATTTCGCTATCTGCTCCCGTGCACCACACCCGACAGATGCATGCGCGCACGATAGATAATTGTCTTAGGCAATTTAAATTGCATGTAAAGTATGTTTTTGTTTGGAAATCTGATAATAATATATTATAGCAAAGCCAAAACGTTAGTATCAACTTTTTAATATGTTTCTAAATAATAAATACCAGCCTTATATTCACAAGCTATTGGCTAATATTTGGACGCAAGTAATTGGTTAAAACAAAATATTTTGCTAACATCCGCACGTTTGCAAAATGGTGGGCCCTACGTGCAAGCAATGCGAGGCGAAGATTGACCCGCTTCTGCTGAACCCGCAGCGGTCTACGACGGACCCCCGAGCGCGCTGCGTCTGCTGCGGGAAGCTGCAGTACGGCTACGCATTCCGTACAATCAGCGGGCGGGACATCGTGCGGCGCTGTATTGCCTGCGAGAACGGCCCAAAATGCGGTTGAGTTTTGGGAGGAAAAGCCCCCACCACCTGATTCGGCCGAAGTGCGCCGCCAGGAAAGCCTGGCGAATGTCAAGAAGGCGATGGGTCCTGACTGGTACCCCAAGAAGAAAAAGAGGCGCAGCCGCCCTCGCAAGCTGACCGCCCGAAACGCCAATTACATCGAGCAAAAGAAGCAGCAGAAGAGCAAGTAATTTGGATAATATATCCTTATTGCCCCCGTTACCCCGCTTATCTTTGTATTTTGTATACTGGCGGGCGGCGCGAGGCTTGGGGCCGCACATATGGTAAACTAACTGTGGTGCTGCCAATTGTGTTGACGCATCTACGGAGTGTAGCGCGTTTCATATAAAATTAGCGCATGGTATCTACTGTGTACCCTTGCGAGCTGGCCGCTCCTATCTGCATACGCGTTACCGTAGATATGAGAGCACTTGCTCACTTGGCACACGCAAACCCATGCTATATGTACCACCAACCCTCACAGTTTATATTTCACTAATGTGCGCTCACGAATGTAAGCTTCAGTATTGAGTGAGCACTATGCGCGATGAATAAGCTGCTGTCTACATGGACACAACCACGTATGCGGTAGTGATGACCATACAAGCGGCCATCGCAAGGAGATGTGTCTGTACGCAGTACTTTACTTTAGCGCCCTGTCCATAATGGCCGAGATAAGAGCTCGGTTGAGTCACGGATGGCTATAATGTGTACCCGCCGCGCGCGTATATATTGCTTTGAATACTGCTAACAGACGCCTGATCAGCTTGCCTGTATCACCGCGGGTATGACCTGTGCCCGAATAGTGACGTGCTGGATCATATAGACGGATACATCATAATCGTAGGTACAGTAGGCTACCACGACGATACAAAAGTACCGAGATCGCAGCAGTAAACCAGTGCATGGGTGCTGGCTATCACGACAACACCCATTGGCGGCATTGCGGGATATGGCACGGACACATCAAATAGCACGCCGAGCTGATAAAGTAGGCAGCGAAAGTACTCCATCTAATGTACATGAACTATTATTCAATTCAAGTCTAACCATCACTACGATCTGATACTCTGCCTACAGCCATATTTCTTCGTATGTTGCAGCCGGTCAAAAGAATGTGCACGCAGTGGTGCCTCTTCGTCCGATGTGGACGAGGCCTTTTGTCGTACATATCGGACCCAGTATAATGTCAGTCGGAAAGGATTTACGCCACTCTGTCAGTCAGAAGCTATACAAATAAGTCAGAAAGTACGTCAGCTATGTAAGTAAGATAAATGCATGCGGAAGATAGTGGAAATACCCTTCAGTTACATCACAAACAGCTCAGCAGAATAATTTCAAAGCATAATATTGATGTTTGTGGCGACCATCGGCATATACTACCTATCCTAAAAGATACTTCGCGCGCGGAGCTGATTAACATTGCTCTATTCGACCGTCGCAATCGGTGATATGTGTCGACTGCCTCACGGCGATGACGTGCAGATGGGTTAAATACGTTTGAGTAGGCGTACTTACTCTAGCTACACTGGGATTCCTCACCGATCAACGTATATTTCGTAGCATCATTGATACTGACCCGTCTTCCGTACAGCATATATTAGCTTTGCAACCACGCGCGCCTCCGATTCGTGTCATTTTGGGGGCTATGCGCTCAAATGCGATTATAGACAAAAAAAACCTTCACGGGTAAGATGGTGCTCATCTTGCAGATCACGTTAAACCCTGGTCATATCTATCATAACATGTGAGCACTAAATATACTGTGTGCGGTGTTGTTTTGGAGCGTAATATAAGTAGAACACAGTATACATGTACTATATGTTGCTTTGCTGCACGTAGAAACGCTAAGCACACCGCAGCGCAGCGAAGGTGGTCAGCCCGCACTACACCAACCAACCATGCCCTACCGTCCGCGGAGCGGGCGCCCAGACCGCTAGTCGCTCCGCTTCTAACCTTGTAGCGTGTCTGTCCGTCCGTCCGTCCGTCCGTCTGTCAATCAGTCCGTCCGGTTCCTTTCTTGCTGTTTTTTCCTGCCTTTTCGCATGGCTACACTTGGCCTGTCTAATACATTTACGTCCCTTCTTACCGACCGCGCCTACCTTTCTGACTCGACCTCACTATGCCAAAATTACAATTATATCCAAAAGCGTGACACAATTAACTCGCGCCCTGATTGGGCAATACCTGCCGACCTGCGACACTGACTGGATCTGTCGCACGATCAGACCGTCTCTCGCCCTCGGGATTGGACGTAAGGTAAACATTTCTGCCGAGCACGAAACGCATCGATTGGTGCAAACAGCCTGGCGAGCTGCGTTGACAATTCAAAATTTACATTTAGCTACGCAAAACCTGTCGTATGTGCATCAAATCGGGCACGCTAACCACCGCGTTTTGTAGGGGCTTTGCAAATATTATTTTTAACTTCTCCTGGCACTCTCCACTGTCAGCGTGCAAGAAGGCGCGCGGCCGCACGGTCATTGCGCTATCTGCTCCCGTGCACCCCACTCGACGAATGCATGCGCGCACGATACATAGTCTTTTAGTCACTTTTATTGCATGTAAAGTATGTATTTGTTTGGAAATCTGATAATAATATATTAAAGATAAGCCAAATATCAATAATATACAACATTTTACTATTTTGCTTAATAATAAATATCAGCCTTTTATTACCGTGCTATTGGCTAATATTTGGACGAAAGTAATTGGTTAAAACAATATATTTTGCTAACATACTCACAGTTTGCAAAATGGTGGGCCCTACGTGCAAGCAATGCGAGGCGAAGATTGACCCGCTTCTGCTGAACCCGCAGCGGTCTACGACGGATGCACGGGCGCGCTGCGTCGACTGCGGGAAGCTGCAGTACGGTTACGCGCTCCGTACAATCAGCGGACGGGGCAGCGTGCGGCACTGTATTGCCTGCAAGAACGGCCCAAAAGCGGTTAAGTTCTGGGAGGAAAAGCCTCCACCACCTAATTCGGCCGAAGTGCGCCGCCAGGAAAGCCTGCCAAACGTCGAGAAGGTGATGGGCCCTGACTGTCGCTCCGCTTCTAACCTTGTAACCTGTCGGTCTGTCCGTCCGTCAGTCCGTCGCATTCCCCGTCTTGCTGCTTTTACCTGCCTTTTCGCATGGCTACACTCGGCCTTTCAAATACAGTTTCCTCCCATCTTACCGACCGCGCCTATCTTTTTTTAGTTTTATTTTTTTAAATTTATTTAAACAAATTTATGTGAATTAACATTAAAAATAGCTTTTAATGAATTTCTTGAAAGTTGTTTATAAATATTTTGTTTAAAATTTTTTTTTTTTTCTTTTTTTGTTAAAGTTACTGCACCTATTAAGGCAATTAATAATATAATACC